ACAACTATCTTCAATACCACTATCATGAGGGCCAATTTATTCCCTATCCCTTTACGCAAGTTACTGTAATACAGAAAAAAAGTCCACATATAAAATGACCCACATTTCACTATTGCTTTTGGTAAAAAGTAATTTTACGTTGTATTAATTTTCATCATAGAATCTTTTTATGTGTTGTATAGTCGTAAATGTTTGAAGAAAAAAAATTATTTGAGCTTGCTTAAGTAACATTTATACAATGCTGAGCTAGAGTTTCAGACAAAAAACTACAACAGTCACAGATAAAACTCAAATAAGTAATGACTTTAACAAATTCCTAGAGTTCCAGAGAGTTACCATATTATCTAGTTTTCTGTATTTTTATTCATATTTAAATTAAATATAAATACAATAACATTTTCTGTGTTATAAATTAGAATAAGGAAACTCCACATATATCATATAAGTGCTTTTAGCCTTAGGTCTTAGTCTCCACAGCAAGAACTGATCCAAACAGTATTTATCATCACCGATTGTACTGATGGGAAACATTCCACGGATGTGAGCTTTAAGACTATCATCTGAGTTAGAAATGCGATCACATTCCTAGAATTTCTGCTTAGTATTGGCGAAGCTATATATAAAAAGAATGTTAATTGTAAGAGAGCAGTTTCGGCGCTAACAAAGAGATTCGTTTTCAGCCTTTCAAGAGACAAGACTAGCACTGACCTGCGCTGCACAGTTTTTTCTATGTCTTTATTCATTTGTTTCCAGCTTGTTTCCTGACCGTGTAATACACAGATGTACTTTCATTTTACCCTACTTTAAAGTCAAGTTATTTAGTCTAATTTCACTGTTTGTTTTATTTAATTTAAAATCAGTTGTCATTTATTTAACTTTATTGTGCTTCGTATGGCCATTTGCTATATTTTAATCGTGTTTGTGTTTATGCCAATCATTTTTAATTTTACAAATCAAACCCTCTAACCTGCAGTTATTACATATGTACGTGGGCATTTTATTCTGAGAATAGACATGCCACACCAGCTCATTGAAAACCATGCTCACATCCTAGATCATAGATAACCTAAGTGAAATACTAGGTTAGTAGATATCGGGACTGTTGCACTGCAGAAATTATCTGTTGCCAGGAGATGTCACGTGACATCATAGTTTGAGTGTGACTCGACAGAGAGCATGTTGCTAGGAGTAATAGTTTTATGAAGTAGTATCAGAGAGTGCAGCTGTCTTAGGGGAAGGGGTGATATTATAGTTCCATATCAGAGAGTCTGTTACTATAAGTGGACGGTATTACCAAGGTTCTATAGGCGGATGGTCTCACTGAGGATAGTGTTTCTATAGGTGGACTGCGTTACTACACTTCTATAGGATTGCATACACATTTAAATTTGGCTCAACTTATGTGTATAGTTTTCTTTTATATATTTAACTGTATTATATGTGTTTTACTAAGATGGATAGTGTTACTAATGTTCTATATTCGGATGCCAAATAGTGTGACCAAGGTTAGTACTGCTATAGTGGATGGTGTTTTTTATAAATGAATAATTGAATAGGATGATGAGCTCATAGTAACGTGTCTCAACATGAGATTACATCATCAACATTGTAGTCCAGGTTTAATTATATGTCCTAAAAAGTAAAACCATTATTTGAACGAGACAACTATCATAACATAACTGGTACTTTGTATTATACATGCTATGTAAAAAGTTTTTATCATACACACTGTCTAAATGTATCCATTATTTCAACCAGACATAATGTATTACATATGTCAGTTTTATCGTACATACTATCTTAACTTATCCATTATTTCAAGCGGACATAGTGTATTACATATGTCAGTTTTTATCGTACATACTATCTTAACTTATCCATTATTTCAAACAGACATAATGTATTACATATGTCAGTTTTATCGTACATACTATCTTAACTTATTCATTATTTCAACCAGACATAATGTATTACATATGTCAGTTTTATCGTACATACTATCTTAACTTATTCATTATTTCAACCAGACATAATGTATTACATATGTCAGTTTTATCGTACATACTATCTTAACTTATCCATTATTTCAACCAGACGTAATGTATTACATATGTCAGTTTTTATCGTACATACTATCTTAACTTATCCATTATTTCAACCAGACGTAATGTATTACATATGTCAATTTTTATCGTACATACTATCTTAACTTATCCATTATTTGAAGGAAACAAATATTATAGCCAATAATTTACCTTAAATATTTTTAGAATCATCCATCACTATATGTATATAAAACACTTAGCTAATAAACTAGTTCTTTAGTTTTTGCTTCTATATTTAATTTGCATAACACACTTCTTACAATTATCACCCTGGAAATAATGGATTTAAGTAATTTCATATTCATTGTTAGCTTTATAAGTTAATGTATGTATTTATTCCACTAAAATTTAGGTTTAAAAGATCTATATAAATAGCTGTTTAACAGTTACTGTTGTAGAAATATTATTTTTATGTTTCTGTAGAAATGTTTCCCAAATATTCTTACTTGATGAATTAGAACCTTATGAATAACGCTGAATGATTTCTAATAAAACATATCAGTACAGGTATAAACGAACTTTCTTCTTCAACAGATGTTAAGAGATAATTTCTGTCTGATGACACAATAGAAAGTCTGAGTCATCGTCACATGCTCACCAGTCTGACTGAACATAGTTGATGTGATCTAGATTCAAGTCCACTGACATTCTCGTGGCCAAAAACCAGTTCTTTTTTAATCTTGAATATTTCAACAGAGCATCAAATACATATTTCACAAATGAACATAGTTTATAACAAAATGAACATCTTAAAAGGACCTTTAATTATACATCAAGTGATTATTCTTTCACGTTTTATAAACCCAAAATATTTACTGTTTATCACTAAAACAACATATTAAAATCACAGACTTGACAAGCATACTGAAACAGTTATTAACAAAACTTCAAGAGTCACTAATATATTACAAACATCTTAATTTATAAAATACTGAATTAGGTTTCAGATAACTTTTCTACATAATGTTCATGTTACTATTTCAGTTAGAATTTATATTTTTCATTTGTGTAACATTATGTGAAAACAAACACCGAAATTATCACGAGACATTTTAATACATTACACTAAAGACACGTCACTACATAAATACACGAATAAAGGATTCAAAAAGTGCAGTTTAGCCGAACATAATTATTTTGTGACACCAGTAGTATTATTCATTTACACTGGACCTAAAACTCGAGCGCTTTAGAAATTGCTCGAATTTTGGGTCTCGTATGAAAAACCATTACAACTTTTGAATGTGATCCTGTATGCTAATTTTTTAATCAGAATTCATATTCCACTCATGGACCACGGATCCCGGTTTACTGAAGGCAAGCTACCTTTTCTGTCATTTTTGGAGATTCTATTATTAAATTCATTCACCAACACCTTTCTTACATAAATGGCAAACATATTTTAATTAAATCAATTAATGAAGCCATCTAACTTGATCTCTTAGACACTTACTGCCACGGTCTTTAGAATACTTAATTCTTCACGTCGTAACTAACGACGGCTTATGACTGTTTTAACGAGCTACAAGCCTTACTAGTACATATTTTGACTCCCCGTAATGACCATCGTGTTTGTTTTAATAGTGTCATCTACCGTAATGTAAATAGACATACTGAATTACTTCTATGACAACAGATCTGTACTACTGACTCTTTAAACCAGAACATTGACAAATTTAACGTTCTCGCACATGACCTCTGCCTCATGCTTATCCTTCCTTTACAACACCAACTTAAAACAGGAAACATTTCTTAGTAAAGGATGGTTTACACCTTCTCTTCAAAGGAATCTCTTCCCTATCCAGTAA